AATTTCAGTGATAACGCATGGGGTAAGTAACTCTTTAAAGTGAAATAGGCATTTTATTTCTTTGCTGCTTTAACAGGGCTTACAGTAGATTTTGTGAACTCTTCAAAGCAAAATAGCCATTATTTGATTGCGTTTGCTTGTTAATAAAGACGCTTGTATCAATTCTAAGTACTTTTGCGCAGCTATAGCAGCATTATGTATTGCATAGCTATTCAGATCACTAGTTTAGTGAATTTTAATAGCAGCAGCACGCATGGCAAAATTCAGACGCAATGTTAGAAATATTAGCAGCTGTCTGCATGGCAGTCCAATTATCACTGTTGCTAATATAGCAGCGGCAGCATAAAGTACATTTAGTTGCATGAAATTTCAGTGATAAGATAATGCTTGGATGGTAGTGAACTTTTTAGGTGAAATAGGCATTTTTTTTACTTTGTTATTCAGTTCAACAGGGTTTATAGAACTTTTCAAAGAGAAATAGGCATTATTTGGGTGTTTGGTTATTTAATAAATGGGCAGTAGCAATTCTAAGTACCTTTGTGCAGCAGTATGCATAGTTATTCAGATCGCAATGTTAGCAAATTTTATAGCATGCATAGCAAATTCAGATGCAAGGTTAGAAATAATATTAGCAGCAGCATGCATAGCAAATCATATTATTATTTTGCTAATATAGCAGCGGCAGCAGAAAGCGCTTTAGTTGCATAAAATGTTAGTGATAAATCTTGGAGGGTAAATGTAACTCTTTAAAGTGCAATAAGCATTTATTACTTTGCTTATTCAACAGGGCTTACAGCAGGTTTCGTGCAGTTGCGGACCGCTTTACCAATTGTTACGGGTCAATTGATATGGTCATATTGTGCTGCTTGTGTCTGGCATAGACATCATGTTAGAGTAAAATAGGCATTCGCCTAGCTACTTATATGCCTAATATTAAACCATTCAGCAAAGCCGGCCCAGGCTCACACAGATAGTAAACACACGGTCTCACGGCTCTCTGGAGCAGCAGCAGTACATATGTCTTGGCAATAGATCTGCTTGTGTTGGGGGGTTTTATCTTTTATATTCCTTCTGCCTTATAGGGATGATTTTAAGCATATTATTGCATAGCAGCAGCATACATATTTAATTGTTTTGTTTCTTCTTCCAGCTTTGTTGGGGGGTTATTTTATATGCTATTTGTGCAGCAGCAGTATGTCTTAAATACTCACGGCACCGTATCGCCATATGCATTGGCTGAAGTAAGTTCCTGTACTTGCTTGCAGCAGCAACAATAATCTACAACTACAGCAATAACCAACAACAGCAGTAATTCAGCAGCAGTGTAGCAGATCTATTCTGCCAAGACCAAATACATTAACATTGCCATATCCATCACCATGCAAAAATGTTCCGAGAGTTCTCATGATTGAAATAAATTTAAAATGAGAGAAACACTTCAAAAATAAACTCAAACCTCAATTGTGTCCTAAATTGTAAGAAAAGTGTAAATTCAAAGGCAGGTTAGGTTAATAGGTGCATTTTAAAATAGATGATACAGGTTATTTCCCATCATAAAATAGATAAAATTACAACTGTTCAGTTGTTGTTTTATATTGTTTTAAAAATACAAAATTAAATTATCTATAAAAAAATATGTTACAAAACATTTCACAGCAAAATATGTATTATAAAAGTTTTATTTAAAAAAATGTATAATTAGTATCATAAAAGTAAAATATATAAAATATAAATATACAAAAGCATGAAAAAAGTATGTTTTATACTTTTTAAATTTAGTACATACATTATATATATTTCTATTCTAAAAGTGCATATAGTAGAATATAAACATATAATACTTCCATACAAATAAACATTTAGTATATATAAATGTACAAGTGTAAAATATATAGCATAAAAACATGTATTGCAAAATGTATAAAATATAGATGTAAAAATTATATACAAATCGAGCATCATGTTAGTTCAGGAAAGCCACATCAGTCAAGCTTGCATCAGCTGACAGTCAGCTGTTCCTGATGTGTACCAATACAGTTTTGACACCTATCACAGCGGTCTATTTAAATCCCCATTCATTCAGCCTCTCTTCTATTGCATGGCTGCACACACGTTGCCACCTATTGTTTTGGAGGATCTCATTTCCTCTGGGTTGCAAGGGCAGCCTAGTCTAAATGTTACTTATACTTTTGTCTCCACACAATAATGTAACCATGTTCCAGATTCGAGGGAAAGGAATGTAAAAATATAAAGAATTGAAAACTGAAAAGAACTGTCACTGAAAATCCCCAATTAAAAATTTGGAATATGTCTAGAGTTAGAATAGGACAAAGAACTTAACATCAAAACAATTGCACACATCACCTTTAAACAACTGTCAATAAAGTATTTGGCAGCTTCACAGAGCGGACATCTTATCTTCAAGTATCTTTTAAAGGGGTCCTATTATGCTTTTTCACTTTTTCAACTTTAGTTAGTCTGTAATGTTGCTGTTTGAGCA